CGCTCTTCCCCATCCAAAATCCTATTGCTTGGAAAAAAACCGTAATTTCTATTAACATCAGCTTCCTTTTGTTCATATATCTACATGGCCTCTGATCGCTCTTTTTTATTATCATTTACTGTTTCCACGATTCAATGATTTAAAATCCTATTCCAGAATAGCCATTCTTTAATATCTCTCATGAACAGGCTCTCCATCATTATTTGAAACTTTATAAAAGAGGTGTTCTTTCTTTCTTTCTTTTCTTCTGACGACAGAATCAGTGACATAAACCTTTTTACTAATATTTTTATGCCACTTGACTGATATTTAGTGCATTGATCAAGATTCAAAAGCTTTTGCTAAGATTCTTTTATCAGAAGAGGGACCTCACATGTAAAAGCAGAATTTATTTCCATTGATTCAGTTTCATTTTTAAGGTGCATTGATTAAGATTCAAATGCGGTAGTTCAGATTCTCTTATCAGAAGAGGTACATCACATATCAAAGCAGCATTGCTTTCCAGTGATTCAGTAATTTTTTTTTTTTTACACCCAAAAACACATTTCTTTTGGTTAGTCGCATAACCACAAATTAACAAGTATATGTGGATGTATTATAATTGGTATCACTTAATGTATTTATATGAATGCTAATGAAGGGATTCTTTTTGTTTGTGGAAATTTTTGTAAGAATTACCAATGAAAATTAGGGAGAATGATATATGGGTCACTTGTAAAAGAATTATTGACATTTTGATCTCTACTTCAAAATAATTATATATATATATATATCACAATCATTTTCAGCTTAATTATTAGGGTTGGAGGGAATATTTGTTCCATAAGTTTTTTTTCAAATGCGACAAGTATCCTTAACTTTGAATTGACTTAATATTACCCCATAAGTTTTAAAAATGGTACAATTTTGTCCTATCATAATGCTTGACCAACGTTGACCATGAATTGAAAAATTTTGACTAGGATTAAAGAGAAATTTTTTCCTGAAAGTTTTTCTAAAAGAGCCAACTGGCATCGTAAATGTTGGATTATAGCAACTTTTTTAGGTTATTAATGTTTAATTCGTAAGAAAAATCTTACAACATATTAATGTTCAAAAAGGGTTCATATTTTTTTGATTTTGACACTAGATCTTACCTGAGATTGCTTGGACACAAAATCAACTCTACTCCAAATACTCCATTTACTTTCTCTTGAGCAAAGTTCAAATTTGCCCTTACTTTGCCTATGAGCAGGTCCAAACATGTCTCCCTAAGCAAGTCTTAGCTTGTATAAGCTTAGCTATGTGCAAATATAGATTTGTTCTGAGTTACCCATAGACAACATAGACTAACTTAGATTTTGACTTAGAGGTGTTCAATATAATTCAACCTAAATTTATTTTTTTTCTGATTTTGGTTTATAATTGGATCATTCTTATTATTTGAAAGTTGATGATCCAAGAACAATATGCAATCAAAAGTTTCGGATACTAATTATTTCTTTAGACAAATTTTTGAGACAAAATTGTCTTTTAACCTTTAAAATAACACTTCGTATTGGTCAAATGTTAGGATGGCATTGCATCATTTTTTTAAACTTTCAGGGTAACACTGCATCATTTGAAAGTTAAGGATACCAATTGCACCCAATGCAAGACTTTGAGGCCAAATTTACCTTTTAGCCCTATCTATTAATTGTTTCCTACATGTAATTTCTGTTTTTTTCCATTTATCTTTTTATTTTCCCAAATTTTGAAAACTTTTAACTTATCTATTACATCAATCTTATATATTATGTATTATACATTCTTATTAATATTTTCTAAGAAAATATTTTATTATTTTTACCACGTAACCTGATTATGAAGGTTAACATCAACTTAAAGGATCAAATTATTTTATATTAAACCTTTGTATTGTTATATAAATTCCTTTTTACCAACAAGATTATGTGAGGACTTGTAAAATAAGACGGCACTGGCATCCCTCGTCCATTTTCTTTTAATATAATTGAGTAGAAGGAACTGTCGAAACCTTAATATATAATTTTTATTTATTTAATATTACAACTATTTCTTGATTAGATATAAATAAAACTAATATAAACTTTTCATTATTTTTTAAATTCATATATTAAAATAATATAACATTTAACATAAATTAAGAAACTATAATTATTTGGTAGTTATGATTGGAAAAAAGAAAAAGAAACATGTTTCGACCATAAATCATAATTTTTTTTTAAAAAAATGAATATTATATTTGAGAACATTTTGATCTTAGTAAGAAGTGTGATGTAACCAATGAGGATTGAGTCTAGCAAAAAATATTAGTTTCTCACAACGTGGTGAACAAAGGTTCAAATCGCTACTGGAAGAGGTTTTCACATTTAATACTCAATCCATCCTGAATAGGATTATTTTCAATAGAAGAATACAAGAAAAACAACATGCCTTATCCCACTAAGTAGGGTTGGCTACATAGATTGCACTCTACCATTATGCTTAATCATTTACCAAGTTTTTAGAAATGATATTAACTAAAAAGTTTTGATTAACAACTTCTATAAGTTTTCTCTTTAGCCTTTCTCTACCCATCTTTACAGGACTCAAATTATTTGTTTCACTTTGCTCACCTATGCCACTTATGATCTTACTTAGTACATCTTCTAACCATCTCTAATAATTTTCTATCATTTTTTCCTCAATAGGTGCCATGCCCGCTTTTTCTTATGTATGCTCATTTTAGATTTTATATTTATATGTATGCTCGTACATCCATCTTAACATTCTCATCTATGCTACTTTAACTTTATACTTCCATTGTCCCTTTAAAGTCCAACATTTACTACCATATAATATAATTGGTCTTATAGAAGTTTGATAAAATTTTCTTTTAAATTTATTGGTACCTTTTGATCATAAATCTTTTTAGCTTTTCTCTAATTAAACTACCCAACCTATCTCCTGATCAATTTTCCCATTATGTTGAATAATAGCTCCTAAATATATAATCTTTTTCACTTTAGATATATCTTATCTCCCAATTTTACTTTCAAATTACTACTAACTGATTTCTTATCAAAATTACAATATAAATATTCCATCTTACACATACTCAAGTAGAAACTTTTTGACTCTAATATCTTTCTCCATAACTCAAATTTATAATTAATCTCTTTTCTTGTCTGATCTCTGCAATAAAAACTATATCATCCACAAAATGTATGCATTTGGAGATTTCCTTTTGAATATAATTCATCAAAACATTTAGGGCCAGGTCAAATAAATAAGGACGCAAAGATGATCCCTGATGTAGTCTCATCCTTATAGGAAACTCCTTTTTGCTGGACATTATTATACTAGTTGTGGCTTCTCATACATATCTTGTATAACTCTAATATAGGTAACCCAAACTCATTTCTTTTACAATGCTTCCCCAAGTATTGCTTTTAGTATACGGTTATAAGCTTTTTTTCAAATAAATGAAAGTCAAGTGTAAGTCTTTAACTTTGCATCAATGCTTTTCCATTAATCTCCATAGCATATAAATCACTTATGTAGTCTCCCTACTTAGCATGAAACCAAATTGATTTCTCAAAATACTAATCTTCAATCTCAACCTATGTTCAATCACTCTATTCCCGCAATAGGGGAATGCATTTAACAAATAAAAGAACAAGTGCCGTGTATTTCTACATTAAACTGTTTATAAGTTAGGCATAAAGAAACAATAAGATTAATTTATCCCAATCATCAAAAAGAAATTTTGTGATGGTGATAGATTCTACGCTACAGTGTCTTAAAAATAAAGATTAATAATAAAAATAAAATGAAATAAATTTAAATTTGAGGAGAATCACACCCAAATTCCTGCAACACAATTAAAAATTACAAGATTTATTGACAGTTAACAACATAAAAAAATATTATATTATATTCAATTATCAACCTTATGTTATTTTTTATTGCTTATAGTTATCCTCTAATTGGAGGTAATTTTATTTGACACTTAGTTGGCTATTTAAATGTAGGCATCTCTTTCGGTGAGAATTTAAATCATGGCTTGCCATATTATGAAAGAATAATCCCTATTATTAGACCCAATCTTCATTAGTTCAACATTATGATATTTAAATGTGTTAAGTTTCCCTTAAATTTTTTAAAGGATTGAAATCTATTGTTTCTATTTTTTTTAACTAAAAATCTATTATTTCTAGAAGGTAGAAGCAGCAACACAATGTGTTACCTAGCAGCAGAGACACCATGCCCAGACGGCATTTCCATCTAACATTGTTTAAGATAGCCTTTCTTTTTTTCTTTTTTTCTTTTTTTTGAAGTGAATTCAAGATAGTCCTTTTAACATTTATTTTAAATTGCTGGGAAAATTCATTTGCAAGTCTTTATATTTTTTTATTTTTGAATTAGGTCCTACAATTTATTTTATGTTAATTAATTCCTAATAATTTGACTGATTAAATACGAATTAATCCTTGAAGGTTAAAATTCTTGATTTTTTCTTTCAAAAATAAAATTAACAACGTATATATATATATATATTATCAAGATATTATATAATTTTAAAACTAATTACATAATTTTTATATAATTCAATATATATATATATAATTAATTAAGTTACGTATTCTAAATGACTTTTATACATAAAGAATATTCATAGAAATTTGATAAAAATATAAACATGGTATTAAATCAATTTTCTTTTTCTTTTTTGCCAAAAATATTGAATTAAAGTTTCTATAATTTCAATTTTTTTTTCAAGTTAATCATTCATCAATAATTTCATCCTTTAGAGATTAATATATTTAATGTATCAAAGTTATAAGAACTTGATTAAAACAAAATAAACTATAAGGGTTTAATTCCAAATTTAAAAAACTATAAGGACTTGCAAAATAATTTAAAAAGACTTTGCTTTTGAATTAGTGGGTTTGCCCCACTTTTGCTATCCATTACACTCGCCGTCTTCGTCCATAAATACCCTTCTTACTTGCGTGTGTCCTCCACACTACTACTCTCCTTTCTTCTTCCTCCATTATCTTATCACCTTTTCTCTAATAATGGCTTCCAATCAAACTCCCACCTCCACTATCCAAACCAAATTCGCCCTTCCCAACACTGACCTCGAGCATCAGCACCAACACCACCCAACCAGAACCCAAGCCACCCAAGCAAAGGACGTCGACGTCGTCCAAGACTTGGACTACTCAAAACGAGCACAGTGGCTACGAGCTGCGGTTCTTGGAGCCAACGATGGCTTGGTCTCGACAGCGTCTCTGATGATGGGCGTCGGAGCAGTCAGGCAAGACATCAAGGCCATGATCCTCTCCGGGTTCGCTGGGTTAGTCGCCGGGGCTTGTAGCATGGCCATTGGCGAGTTTGTGTCGGTGTATTCCCAGTTAGACATAGAGCTGGCTCAGATGAAGAGAGAGAAAGAAAAGAAAAGTCACAGAAGGAAGATAGACGAGGAAGAAGAAGATGACAACGACGATAAAGATGATGAGGAGAAGGAGAGTTTGCCGAACCCTTTGCAAGCCGGAGCGGCATCGGCCTTGGCCTTCTCAGTGGGCGCGATGGTGCCATTACTTGCAGCGTCGTTCATAAGAGACTATAAGGTTAGGGTTGGGGTGGTGGTGGGTTCGGTGAGTGTGGCTTTGGTGGCGTTTGGTTGGTTAGGCGCCGTGTTGGGGAAGGCTCCTACTTTGAGGTCTAGTGGAAGGGTCTTATTTGGAGGGTGGCTAGCCATGGCTGTAACCTTTGGACTCACCAAGTTGATCGGGTCAAGCGGGCTTTAGTTAATTAATTAATTAATCTTCGTTAGGTATGTTAAGTTTATAAAATATGTTACTAAATAGTCTCCAACTTGTACATATAAAGCATGTAAGAGATATGGTTCTGTTGAAATATTATATGTGCTTGATATGTTTGTGAATTATTTTTTAAAGGTGAGGCTTAAGTTGTTATATATCAAGCTCCTCGTGGATTTTAATTTATACCCTTTTTATGTAACGATATGATATATTCTCTGTCTCTTTAATTTTTAATGATAATATAAGTGAATTAAGGAAATTAATTGGTTTGCTGGATGGTCGACCCGTTCGTCCCTCAGTTTGGTGGAATTTTATGATAAGATAAAACTTACATTATTTATATATAAAACATAGCTTTTGATTCAAAAAGTTCATTCCATTAAAGGTCTCTAATAAATATACTACAATAAGCTAGGCATTTCAATTATTGCAGTGCATCTTTACTGTTCATATATCTACATTTATTTAAATTATATATCTTATGATTATTTTTAAAAAACATTATTTTATCCTTAATATATAATCAAGAGAAAATTATAAATCAGTCTTATGTAAGGAAATTATTTACAACCAAGCCCCTTTAATATATGAAAATACTCTCAAATTCTATGGGATTTAGTTTATAATTAATTTATCAAGTAAAAAGATACAAATGCCTCTTGCACTCACACGCCTTTGAAAAAAAAAAACATTCTTATTGAATTATTTATCTTTTATTATTTACATGTCAAACATAACAAATTTACAAGTAAATCTTCAAGATTTACAACTCAAACTTCAAACATTTACATGTCAACATCTTGCAATATTAACAATTAAGTTAACACTTATAAGTAAATTTGGAAGATTTACAAGTTGAAAATCTTAAATTTATAAATAAATTTAGAAAAAAAATAATGCTTTAATATTAAGCCAACCAAAAGAAGAGCATTCTAGAGTCCTAATCCTCTATCTGCTTCCTAACCCTCTCATTACCATATTAACTATCTTGAAACTCAATTTTGATAATCTAGAAGTCTAAAATAATCTAGAGTGTCTTCAAATTATTAAAGATTCTAATTAATTCAATTAAAGAAAATTATTAATTAATTAAGGATTATTGTAATGACCTTCATCATTAACTTCAATCAAACTCAACTAACTGACAACCCTTAATCATTAAGGATCGGTAATACTGAGCATTGTATCCTACCCGTGCCTCACCTATAGGTTGTTGGCAGTACTAAGTGCATATATTAATGATATGGCAAGTATGTCGCAGCATACAGCACAACAGTGGAATTGAGGTCTCCATGCCATATGTCACAGCATATGAAGCACATACCACAACGCAAGTGCTAGAATATGCAAAAATGATAATTTTTGGCCCTATTTTTAGGTGTTTTGCTTCACAAACTTTTCCATGTTTTTCCTATGTTTAAAAACCATCAAGTTTATGCTTAAACTACTTATATACTTGAAGGGATTTTATGGGATCCCCAATGAGCTCTACATTATTTTTAAATGTTTAATAGTTTGAACCCTTCTATATTTAGGGTAAGCTTACGAGTGATTATAGCTCCTAATTGCCATTGTATGATGTGATTGTGTACTGATTAATGGTAATGTCAAGGTAGATATTATAACTTGATATCAGTTTCTTGAGTTTCGAGATCTAGTTTGTTGTCATACTTCCATTGCATTTATTCCAATTTGTTGGCAACTTTATGTGCACAACTCTTTCCCTTTGTCTCATTTTCTTTATTTTATTTACTAATTCCCTTTCTATAATTGCTTTCTTCCTTAAGAGGGGAGAAAAATGATTAAGAGGAATAGGAATGCCAACAATCCACTAGGCAATTTATCAAAAAATAATGGGCCTATACCAAAAGTATAGCCAAAGATACATTTAGAATAGCAATAAAGGCTCCAAGGTAATGATGCAATTTTAGAATTTCAGTATATAATAAGGAGTATTTAGAGAACTATATAGGACCATGACACTCTACTCCATAATAGAGATCGCGAGGAGGAGAAAGCAAACCTAAGGAGGCTCATGAGAGCATATTGGAACCTTCTTGTGGTTGTGGTAGTAGACCTTGATTATTAAAGACTAGAGTAGATAGAGACACTCAAGGGATATCTATGAAGACTTTCTCCCAGTTTAACCCTCTAACATTTAATGGCACTATGAAGTAAGGAGAAGTTAAGAAGCTATATTTGGTTAAGGATGCTAAGTACTGGTGGAATCTTACAAGGCCTTCGGATGGACGTCAACTAACATAAGAACAATTCAAGGAAATGTTTTGACTACCATTTTCCTCCAACATTTAAGGATGAGAAAAAGGCTGAGTTCCATATATTTTGGTAGGGAGATCCTAATAAAGAAGCCTTTATTCAAAATTTTAATCAGCTATCAAAATTTTCTACTTATCTGAAAAGGTTGATAGTGATTAGAAGACAAAAAGGCTCCTAGAAAAGATGAGGCTAGAATATAGACAATAGATTGCTTTGTTAGATGTGACCACATATGGTGACATGTGTAATGGGCTCTAAATTATTGCAAGAAGAGTTTGAGAAGTAAAAATAGAGAAAACACAAGATAATTATAGGAGGTTGTCATCCTCCTTAGATCCTTTTGGAGTCTCTAAGGAGACTAGTTATAGCCTAAGTAGTTCTGGAGCATCGGGTAGGAAGAGTTTTAGTAGAGGATCACAAACTTGAGGGATAGTCTAAAGGGGTAGATTTAGGAGTCTTGGTGTTCTACTACCATGTTCATTTGCTTCTAATATGCCTGCCCGACCTTGAGTATAGCTTTGATGACCACCATGTGTTAAGTATAGGTGGTCACATCCTAGAAGGTACTAGGTATGTTTTAAGTGTGAGAAACCTAACCATCTAGCAAGACATTTCCTTGAGGGTAGAATAGAGATTTACCATTCTTGGATGAGTTTACACACTATCTTAGGAAGAGGCTAGAGCATCCCCAAATTTTATAAAAGGTATTATTCCTATCTATGAGCTGAAGATTGAGGCATTGTTTGATTCTGGTGCTACACATTCATTTATTTCACATGAATGTGTAGAAAAATTAAGACTTCATTTACATGATTTGCCATATCTGATTAGAGCATCTACTCTGTCTAGTTCATCTAAGAAGACTAGTAAAGCAGGTTTGAATGTGAAAGTAAAGTTTGAAAATCATTTGACTAGTCTCAATTTGATCTAGATTTCTAAGAATGGTTTAGATGTAATTATTGAAATGGATTGGTTAATGGTAAATAATTCCACTTTAGATTGCAATAGGAAGATAGTTTTATTACCAATACATACCACAAGGCCAATATTTTGAGTTAATCTAAGTTATTGTCAATGGTGTAAGTAGAGAAATTGATGCAACAAGGATGTCTAGATTATATGGTTTTCTTTTCAGTGCATGGAGTTTATGATGGAGGTATTGATAAGATTAGGTTAGTGAATAAATTCCTTGAGGTATTTACAGATGATATGTCTGGTTTGCCTTAGAAAAGGGAAGTGGAATTCATAATAGACTTGGTGCCAAGAACTAAACCAATCTCAAAGGGTCCATATTAGATGTCACCAATTAAGTTAGTTGAATTGAAGAAGAAGATTGATGAGTTACTCAAAAAGGGTTTATTAGACCTAGTGTGTTACCTTATGGATCGCTGGTGCTATTCTTTAAGAAAAAGGATGACAGCTTATGACTTTATATTGATTATAGATAATTAATCAAGGTGACAATAAAGAACAAATATCCTTTACCAAGGATTGATGACTTGTTAGATTAATTAGTAGGAGATTCAATTTTCTCAAGGATTGACCTGAGGGTAGGATACCATTAATTGACGGTACGATTAGAGGAACTAGCCAAGATAGATTTTCATACCAAATGTGGGCATTTTGAATTCCTGTTAATGCCATTTGTGTTGACAAATACGCTTGTGGTTTTTATGAATTACATGAATCATATGCTCAGGCCTTATTTGGATCAGTTTGTTATAGCATTCATTGACGACATTCTAATATACTCTATAGATGAGGAGCAGTATGCAAAGCATTTAAGAGTTGTGCTATAAATTTTGAAGAACGACAAGCTCTATCTTAAGCTATGAAGTATGAGTTTTTGTTAAGGGAGGTTTGATTTCTATGGCATGTTATGTCAGCAGAGGGAATTGTAATGGACTTGCATAAAGTAGATGCAGTGTTGAAATAGGAAATGCCTAATTCTATGACCAAAATATAAAGCTTTCTAGGATTAGCTGGGTATTATCGCAAATAGATTAAGGGTTTCTCACAAATAGCTTCATCATTGACTAGGTTGACCTAAAAAGATCAGCCTTTCATTGTGAATGATAAGTGCAAGACTACATTTCAAAAGCTGAAGGAGAAATTGACTATAGCATCAGTGTTGATTATTCCTAATCAATGATTGCCATATAAAGTTTATATAGATGCATCTCTGAAGGGTCTAAGATGTGTGTTAATATAAGATAAGTGACTAGTGGCTTATGCTTCTAGATAGCTTAGGCCACATGAAGAGAATTACTTGACCTATGACTTAGAGCTTGCCATAGTTGTATTTGCACTAAAGATTTAGTGGCACTATTTGTATGGAGCAATCTTTAGTGTTTTTAGCAACCACAAGAGCCTAAAATATTTAGTGAATATGAAAGAGTTAATATGAGGCAAAGAAGATGGATAGAGTTCCTGAAGGATTGTAGCTTTGAATTTAAATACCACCCAATAAAAGCAAATGTGGTTGTGGATGCCTTATGTCAAAAATCATTGCATGTCACTTATCTAATGTTGTAAGAGCATAAGTTACTGAAATTCTACTTGGATATTAAGCATGATTTAGTAGAATTTACTATGTACAGCTTACATTCTACAGAGATTACTAATAAGTTTCAAAAAGAATTAAGAATAGCACAACTTAAGAATAAGTATTTGTTAGGAATTTAGGAAGATATAAAGGAAAGGTAAACCTCTGACTTCAGTTTTATCGATGATGGATATGTAATGTATCAAGATCGGGTTTGTGCACTAAATTAGGGTGATTTGAGAAAGAAAATTCTGAATGAGGCGTATTAGAAAAACACTACTACAAAAAAAAGCTTTTTACATTGCTTTTTTGGGGCTTTTCACATCCTTATCA